GGGGAGGGCAGCTCAGCAGTCCCCCCCCCGCGGCAGTTGCAGCTACCGCCGAAAGTGGCGCGGCCATAACTTTTTAAAGAGCCCCTAACGAGAGCTGGGGGAGTCAGAACGACATCACACGCGAGAGGTGGAATTTGCCCCTACAAGTCCAAGGCCGCAACCCTGGAGCTCAGGAAGTCAAGGGAACGTCAGTCAAGGGAACCCCCCCCCCCCGCGGGCATCGCAGCTGCTTCCGAGAACAGCGGTGGTGGCCATAACTTTTAAAAGAGCCCCTAAGAGCTGGGAGAGCCAGAATGACCTCTAGCGTGTGATGTCGGAGCTGCAATGCCGCTCGGACATCACACGCGAGAGGTGAATTTGCCCCTACGAGTCCAAGACCGCAACCCCAGGGCTCAGGGAGACACGGAACTGATGGCTGGTGGGAGCAGGGAGCGGGGCTTATGTGCCCGCCCCCCGGGCTCCTGACTGGCGGAGCTCCAGTGTGATCCGGCAGGAACCGAGGCCTTGGTATGGTAAACTGCTTGTTCCTGCACAGAGCTGGACCTCCATGATCCCTTCACACCGATGCTAGTGCCTCATGTGGCTACTTGAACCTAAACCTGCTTTTCTCTATATGTTGGCCCCTCTGCCTTCAGAACTCAATCTCCCAAGAGTCTTTGCGAGGAGGGGGGGCTGAGAGTGCATAGAGGTAGAACTGGGCAAGAGTATAAAACGCTTCCGGTCTAAAACTGAACTTTCCCCTCTCTGCGTTCCCAATGCGAAAGCCGAGACGTGTGTCAGCATAAAGATGGCAAGGGATATAATACCGACGCACTTCGAGAATCATGTCGGCTTTCCACGGCTGCCGGAAGTTCGGCCTGCGTGTGCCCCTCTACGCTTTCTTCCCACAGGCCGGGCCCAGACTCTGTTTCCCGTCGTGCTGCGCGGCACCCTTCCGTGCCCCTCCTTTTCGGCGCCGTTGTGCTACGGAAGCCGACGAGCGTTGCTCCTCCTCCTGCTGTTCAGCCCAGAGTAGTGCTGGGCCGGGCGGGCCGCCCAGCCGGGCTGGCGGCGGCGGGGGGAAGAGGAAAATGGCAGCCCCGCTGCTGTCCCTCTCCGAGGGGGAGGGCGCCCGGGCGCGGCGGCGGGAGCAGCTGCGGGCCTGGGCGGAGGCCGAAGCGGCGGCGGCTTCCTTGGGGCCGGCCCCGCCTCAGATCGGGCGGCGGCGGCAGCAGCAGGGTCGGCGATGGGCTCCGGCGGCCGCCCCTCCCGAGCCGTCCGCTTCGACGCGGCCGCCGAGTTCTTGGCCTGCTGCGCCGGGGCCGAGCTGGAGGCGGCGCGGGAGATGCTGAGCGCAGACCCGGGAGCCGTCAACGGGACCAACGCGGACGGCATCAGTGCTCTCCACCAGGTGGGTGCTCGGCGCTGCGCAGCTGCCGGCGTCGAGGGCGCCTCTGAGCGGGTGCAGAGCGCTCCCGCTGGACCTGGCGCCCTTCGTGTCGGAAGGGCCGTGCTATCGAATGCCTCTGGGCAGGTGCAGAGTGCCTTTGCCTCTGGTTGGAGCCTCAAAAACCCCTGCTTTTTGGTTTTTTGTTTAGCTCTGGAACGTCTGTGAAGAACAGAACACACAAATGCTGTTTTACCTCTTTTTACAGAGAGCCCTGGCACTGGTTTCACTAATGCCAAGGGTGCCTTCTCTGAAGTTCAGGTTTGAACCCCAGTCCCCGTGTTTTAATTTCCGAGGTACCCAAAGATGAGCTGGTCCCTGAGCATATGCAGAGTGGTTGTTTCTTACCACTGTGTAGCTGCAGCCTGCCCCACAGGCAGACCAGCCTCTGGCATTAAACCGTTTCCTGTTAAGAATTAGGGAGTTCAGTGCAGGCTGGAATTCCTGCACCATTCATTCTGCAGGATGCGTGAGTTAGAAAGGAAAAAAAAAGTTGGCCATTCAAGCACAGAATAAAAAATGAATATTATGTAATCTCCCCGTTTGCCATAGTGGACAGTTTTTAATCTGGGAGAGTAAAACTCCAACCTCTGGCATTGAACTGTTTCCTATTAAGAATCAGGGAGTTCAGTGCAAGCTGGAACTCCTCCATCATTCATTCTGCAGAATGCATGAATTTTAAAAAAAAGTCAACCATTCAAGCACAGAATTAAAATGAGTATTACATAATCTCCCAGTTTGACATAGTGGACTGTTTTTAACTTGGGAGGAGAATACAATGTATGCTTATATGTTACCATGGTACAGCCTGGTAAACGGAAGCCTTGCATTGTTGAGGGGAACACTTGTCAATCATTCCAGGCCTGAGATTGCAGTTTTGTGCGTAGAATTGATTAATTCCGTGCCGCACGCAGAACAAGCTGCCTTTATGCTCAGTTACGCCAGCGATCCCCATAGCCTCACTTTTTTTGGGCTGGCAGCTTCGAAGGTTCTCAGGCAGAAGGTCTGTTCTAATCCTGCTTCGTGTAGAGGTCAGATGTGTGCCAAGGTGGGTGGGACCAGCGCTCTGTGAAAGAGACCTAGAACAGGATTCTGAAATCCCTGCTTAGCCCATAGCAGGCCATTTGGGTAACCTTCCGGATTCCGTGTAGCCAAACCCAAATGCAGGTGGGCATCCCCTTCTGTACCCATAAACATGTACTGGAAGGGTAAGGAAGTGATCCCCCTTTCTGTCATGTTTTAACGACTGCCAGCCTTCACCCTCCCGATGGGACTTCGTAGTCCTGTCTGATTCCAAGAGTATGCCAACATCTGTAATCTTAGGGATGGAACAGTGTGTGAATGCTGCCCCTATCCAAGCTGCAGAACTGAAAGAAGCGTGTGCAGTTGGCCTCTCACAACGAGTGCAGCTGTGTGAGGCAAGTGATACCGCCTTTCCCTGTACATTTCCCATATTTCGAGTCGCTCAGGATGCTTCTGCCTGGGGAGGCGGGGAGTCTTCAAATTTTATTCATGAAGCGCAAGTCCTATAAGGAAAGGTTGAAGGGGCTGGAACTGAGAGACGACTGAGAGGCGATATGATAACCATCTTCAAGTACCTGTAGGGCTGTCATCTAGGGGATGGTGTGGAGCTGTTTTCTGTTGCCCCAGAAGGTTGGACCAGAACCAACGAGTTGAAATTAAATCAGAAGAGTTTTCGGCTAAACATTAGGAAGGACTTCCTGACAGAGCGGTAAAAACAGAGCTGTTCCTCGGTGGAACAGGCTTCTTCGGGAAGTGGTGGGCTCTCCTTCTTTGGAGGTTTTTGAACAGAGGCTGGATGGCCATCTGACAGCAATGCGGATTCGGTGAATTTAGGCAGATCATGAGAGGGAGGGCAGGAAGGGTTGCCTCAGTGCTGAGTTCTTGTGGCCCTTTCTTACACGCCCAGGGAAATGCTGAATGCCACTTTGTGGTCAGGAAGCAATCCTGGAGGTTTTTTGTCATCTTCTGGGCGTGGAACAGCAATCACTGCCGGCGTGGAGGGGGAGGTATTTGTGAATTTCCTGCCTTGTGCAGGGGGTTGGACTAGATGACCCTGGAGCAGTCCCTTCCAACTCTGTGATTCTATGAAATAAATGTTAAATAAACTCTCGCAGCTTTTGTATCCCTCCCAGGAACTCTGAGTGGGAGTTCTTAGCTATCCTCCCAGTGATCCCACAAGGTAAAAAGGAGGGCAGAGAGAAAAGGGACCTTGCCCAAGGCCCCAAGATAAACTTTGGCGGCTGAGCAGGGATCTGGCCCCAGCTTCCCCACATTTTTTGGCACGGCCGTCGGTGTTGCTGCACAAAGCGCAAGGCAGTCCGCCCTGAGGAAAGGGAGGCTTTGACAGGTGCCTGCGGGATTCCCGGGGATGGAGTGCGCACTTAGCAGCTCTGGGCGGGGTGGAGCTTTGGGGAGACTGGCTCAGTAACTGGGTGGCTGGAGAGGAGGGATCAATCGAAGAGAGCCAGGCGCTGCTCCTCTCTAGCGTTGGGTGCAAATGGCATTGTTTTTCCCCAGCAACGCAGGGAGCAGAATGCAGCAGCTCCCTGGGTTGCCGTCCCCTCCCTGCAACGCTTCCTGGATTTATCCGCCCTGTTTGTGCAGTGTGGCTATGCCGAGACAATTGGGTAAGCCTGAAACATTCCCCTTTCCTGGGTTTCTCATTAGGAGGCTCCAGGGCTGCTGTCCCCTACACGCTCCCCCCCCCCGCCCACACTACCTCCCTCCTCGCTAGTTTTCCATTACTTCATCCTCTTGATGCTGCTTGGCTTCTCGCCCTGGTCCCCATCCTCCCACCATCTCCCAAAACCAATCTGTCAAAAAAAGCCAAGGGTCGGGGGGGGGGGGGGAGAGGGTGGAGCCTCTTCCAGTGGCTGCTTCTAATTCAGGGGGCAGGATGTGAAGGGGGGGTGGGTGGAGGGATTTGGAACCAGCATCCAAAATATGACATCGGCCGGAGGTTAGGATTTCCCTCGGCTGTTTTGGGGCACGTTGGGCTCCGTTTACCAGCCGCCAAAGCGGAATCTTTGCCTCCAGAGATTTGGTTAGGAATTAATTGAGGCGAGACTCATAAAGCCAGCTGGATGCTAAAGGGGGTGAATTCCGCAGCTGCAGAAGTGTGGAGGCTGGCACCCGTCATCCTGAGAGGCTTGGGGCTCTGTGTCGAGAAGGTTCCCGTTCTCCTCAAGATTGTAAAAGATATGCCGGAAAATGCCCGATGGAAGTCTCTTGAAGCCAACAGGAAAGTCGGGGAAAAGGTTTCCTGTGGTTTTGTGGGTAGATCCGAAGTGCCTCGTTGCTTCTCCCCAAGGCCCAGTCAGAGCTGAATAAATTAGGCGCGTTAAGTGGCCGGCGCAAGTAAATTTGTACAGGTTGCAGAATTAAAATTCCAGTCTTGAGCCCTTCCTGAACAACTCTAGGCTGGCCATAGGTATGAATGATGTGGTGACCCCCAGGGTAACCTGTTTTAACACACGCTGCGTTGGAACTCCAACGGATATGTCCTGGGAAACAGTGGTTCGTCAGACTCAGCTGCCTGCCCAGCTGTTATCTGGAACTCCACTCTTGGCGACCGTATCGCAGCCGTTCTTTTCCAGGTCTTTTAGCTCCAGCTTCAGTTCTGGGCTCAATTCAATTCAACCCCTATAAACCGGTTTGGAGCCCAGGAGACAACGGACCACCTTTTCTGATATGTGCCTACCAGGATGCTGCAGTCATTGGACGCAGCCCCGTGGGAGAAGTTAGCTGAGTGGCTAATAAAGTGGAGTTGGCATGGTGGGGTCGAGAAGACTAGACTGAGGCCTTGGAGGACCCGGGTTTAACTCACTGCTTGGCCACAAATCTCCCTAGGTGAATTTCAGTCAGTAGGTCATTCTCAACGTAACTGAACCCACCCAACAAGGCTGTTGTGAGGATACGATAGCATGGCCCTGAATTCCTTTGAGGGCCCACACAATGAACATCGGGCCAGAAACGAGGCAGCTCTGCATGTGATACTCCTTGCGGGGAAACACCCGTTTTGTGTTCTTCCAGCGAACACGGGAAATGTGTGTCACTCGCGCCCTCGGGGTTCCCAGAAATGTAGATGGGTTTTCAAACATCCGCGCAACATGGGTTTGCTGCGAGAGCTAGAGTTTCTGCCAGCAGCCGTAACGTTTGGGGCCGAACCGGAGCTAGGGCAGTGACGCCGCTCCCCACAGACCGGGCTTGGCCATGAAAGCTTCTAATCCAGCCTGTGGGGGAGCAATCGGGGCGTGGGGGTTGGAAAAGGAGACACCCTCGGCAAAAAACGGAGCAGAAATCAGTTACTCGCTGTGTGGGCGGTGGGGGGGTGAGGTGCTCTGCACACAGCGCTGTCTTTTAGGTGGCAAATGCAACCCTCCAGCCGATTTGCATGTGATGCTCCCGGGCTGGAGAAGGGGGCAGTTCGTGTTGCACGTGATCCGCTCTCCCCTTGGTCCTGTGGGGTGAGGCACCAAGTCCGGCGGTCTTCCAGAGTGCCCGGTTTTTCTCCTCCCTGCCAGGTGCCCCTCTGCCCCTTCTCTGACTTCAAGCAAAATTTGGATGTATTGGAACGGTTTGTGTCCTGTGAACAGTAGGCTGGGGCCAGGGGCTATTTTGGAGACCAAGACCCGTTTCCAGCAGATTGTTTTTCCCCTTAGATGCTGGGAAAAAGAAGCCTGGGAGCTGAGCGATGGACCAGTTTCCAAGGTGTAGTCAGAAATAGACCGAACGGCTGGGTGGGCATGGGATCTCTGTGGATTCCTTTAAAAAAAAAAAAGACGTCTCAGGAGAGGGGTTGGGAACGCGCTGGGCCGCAGAGCGACTGTCGAGCGCACAAACCGGCTGCTAATTGAGACCGGTAGCTGTCAAGGAAATGCGAGAAATGCACCTCTCTCTCTTTTTTCCTTTAAAGTTTCTAATCCTCATGACGATGGGAAATATGTGGAAGTGTGTAGGCGTTTCTGTCAGAGTGCTTAGAAACAAGAGGGTGTCTGGCTGAGGTTTCCAGTATAATAGAAGAATAATTTGCCAAAGGTTCAGAAACAGAGTAATGTCTTTAAAATTCCCAAATCGACCGTATTCCAAAGGATTCTACGTGGTTTGGGTCGCAAATGGCTCTCCGTCAGGGGAATTGCCTTATATTTAGGAAGTATCGTCTTTGCAGCAAGCCCCGTTGTGTTCGACACCGAATCCGAAGCCTGCGACTTCTAAATATATGCCGTTCCCTACTGAGGAAGAGCCATTTTACAGGTGAGGTACAACTGATGCTCTGAGAAGATCGGCCACAGGATCGGAAAGCCCTGACTGGAGCAAGTCTTCAAGGCAGGCGTACTCCTGCTCTGGTTCTCTTGGCCTTATGGTGTTTGAGTAGCGGTGTGGATGGGAGTGGGGGAGGAGCGGAGCCCGAACTCCTGGGTTCCCTGAGAGAGAGAGAGAAGCCCAGAGCGGAGCTTGCATAACGTGCTCTGTCCAGGAATGTTTCCGAGGAGCTTTAGCCAACGGCAGCTGGCCGCTTGTGTTTGTGGAAAATGAAATCTTCACATTCCAGGCAGAGGCTATTAATATCGGCAGAAAGCTGGTTTGGGTGAAACGGGCATGGAGAAGGATGCTGGCTGTCTCTCCCCCGCCGCCCCCCCATGCCAAGGGTGGAAACTGTGTTTGATCCAGAGCTCCTGCAAGGGGGATGGGATGGATGCACCAGCATCTTTCTCTCCAGGGCAAGCCAGTTAACGTACCTGGATAATTTGGACCAAGGATCCTCAGAGCTCTGCACCCGAACCTACTTTGAATACGGAGTTCCTTTGAGTTCTCTGGAACTGGGCCTAGGGTACCTGCCTGTGAGCTCCATCTAAGCTGTCCATTTCCTCCCAAAGCACTCCGCCTGCTCTGCCACCGCTGCACCATTAAGTGATGGCTTTATGGAATGCGGTCTCCCTTACCCCGTGTTCGGCGTGCTCCCTGAGAACGTGTCTAATTCAAGAGCAGAGCTGTCCGTGTGCTGTGATTCCACACAGGCACAAAACTAGCCTCCTACGAAAGTCTTTATCTTAATTTGAAAGAAAGCCGATTTCTAGTCTTTGTGGCTGCAGGAGGTAGCATTGAAAGTCTGGGCAGTGCTGGGGGAAGTAGTCACTGCCCACCGGAGCGCCAGTTTTTCTGTCACCATGCACCCCACACCAAGCAACAGATGCCGGTGTATGTAGAACCAGCGTGTTTATATGAATGCGAATCGGTGACCTTACACTCAACCCAAAGTTCTTTTTTTCCCCCTTCCCGGTAAAGAGTTTTGTAACAACTTTTTAAGTGAACTGTGCCGCTCAGCTTTGATCAGTAGTGGAGGGGTACATCTTGTATTTATGGAGGTCCGTGTTCAGCCTCCTGCCCTAACCTGGAGAGCCCAGGCTGACCTCATCAGATCTCAGAAGCCAGGTAGGGTCGACCCCGGCTACGATTTGGATGGGAGGCCACCAGGATATACCAGGAGCGTGACACAGAGGCAGGCAGTGGCAGCCCACTTTGGAGTGCCCCTTGCCTTGAAAACCCTACAGGGTCGCCCTACGTCCGCTGTGACTTGACAGCAAAAGGCAGCGGCGACCGTTCAGCCTCCGGCATCTGCTCTTGAATGTACGTGGCAGGGCTGTTCCGGAGAAGCGGCTGTGAGGACCGTAACATTTTGAGGATAACGGGCTAGCTCGTGTGTGCTGTTCTCCCCACCCCGATTTGATACCAGTGGGATCGCCCCTCTCAAGAGCCCGGGGATCTTTTCTCCCAGCTGCCTTGCAAAATGCCCCCTTCGGAGTCCAGCTGCCCGGTTCTCCCTGCTTCCATTCACTTGAGGCTGCTCTTTTTGAGAGGAGCCCTGATGCCCCGGATTCTCCTCCTGCCTCCTCTTTGGTACACCCACCTCGCCGTCTCTCGATGCCAGCACCAGCTTTAATCTGCGTGGTCCCCTGACTGTAAATCCGAGGCCTGTTATTAAAGGCAGATAAAAGCCGGCAGATGCGGCTGCCTTCAGTTCTGACGTCTTTGTGCCGCGAGCCGAAAAGTAGCACAGCTGCATCAACCCGGCACAGGAAGAGACATCAAGGGGATCTGTCACATGGAGGGTTGTTGGGTTTTTTTGTTTTTGCAGTTTGGGTGATCGTAAGCAGTTTTTCTTCAGACTTCCTCAGAACACTGTTGCCCATTTGTTGACTCGCGGCGGTCTTGGGCTCTCTCAGATCACCTTTGGTCTGATTTTGAGAAAGCCACGGAGAGAGGGTAAGGGGAACCAGAGAAGGGGCAACAAGCGGGCAACGATGTCTTGAGAAAGCCCGGATAAACCCCCCTGCAGCCAGTACCCAAACTGCGGGGAAACCTCCATGTGGGAGGCCCCAAAGTCTTGTCAGTCCAAACCTCCCCCCCCCCACAGACTGGGGGCTCTGGAGAGTCTGCAGGCCTTCTGCCTGGCTAGTATCCAGCACGGAAATGGGACTCGGGGGGTTTAATGCAGGTGGTTAAGACGCTGAACTGCAGGCTGTGGAAGTTCAGTAGTTCAGCAGTTCAAGACCCGGGTGCCGCAAGACGGGGTGAGCTCCTGTCTCTAGTTCCAGCTCCTGCCAACCTAGCAGTTCGAAAGCAAGAAATTGCAAGTAGATAAATAGGGACCACTTCGGTGGGAAGGTAACAGCGTTCCGTGCGCCTTGGTGTTTAGTCATGCCGGCCACATGACCACGGAAACGTCTTCGGACAGCGCTGGCTCTTCGGCTTTGAAACGGAGATGAGCACCGCAACCCTAGAGTCGGATTCGACTGGCTTTCGAGCAAGGGAACCTTTACCTTTTATCCCTATACTTTTCGGGTGGCTGCCACAGTCAGACAGCAATGCTGTCCCGTGAGCAACGGGGGGGGGGAGGGCTGCGCTGCCGGGCAGGCCATGGCCGGCCCCCACAGACTCCCCACAGGGGCTTCCCCCAGTTCCTCCTCGCCTCAGAGCTGTTTGTCCGATTTCACAAGCGGCGCAGGAAGCACAGTTTTCAAGGCCTGGCCATTTTCAAGTTTAAAAAAGAAAACACACACCAACTTCCCTAAGCCAGTTATGCAATTTGGCAGGCCGCGTCAAGTGTATCCAAACATGCCCAGTTTTGCATGATCAATTGTCCAGCGGAGGCTAAGCCTCTTAGTCTTGACCTGAGCGAGGAGGAATCAGATGCCTTCAGGTGAGCAGCCGAAAGGACACCTGGCCGGGAAGCTGGTGCTAGCCCCGTTCTTGGCTCTGCCTTCTGGCTTCTCTAACTTAATCAAGGCTTAGAGGGTAGGGGGGAGAGAGAGCGAGAGCTGGGAGTGGAGCTCTGACCCATGCTCCCTCCAAGCTGTGGAATCTTGTGAGCAAAACGTCTACTTTGCAAGCCGCTTGCATTAAGAGCTGTAAGGGAGCGGTTTGGCTGCTGCGTAAATCAGTTTGCTCTGGAGCCGTCCTTCCTGAGCGAAGACCAAAATGTGTGAGCCGGAGGCTAAGAAACTGTGAGCTAGCTCACACTAACTCAGCTTAGAGGGAACACTACTGTACTGTACTGGAGCCGACTGTACCTCCGGTGCACTTGGAAGGGGAGAAGGGGCTTGCCGTGCCTCCACTTCCCCAAATAAGGGCGGCGGGAGGGGAGGGTGAAGGGTGAAGCAACCAGCCTGTTAAACGTTATCGTCTCATGGGAGTGCTGAGCCCCTCATCCACTCTCGGGCTTGTTTGTATAGGGGCATGATCCCCATAGTGTGACTAGTCCCTGGTTTGGGCTTAACAGGCCTCTTCCTGTGCTCTTTGGTTGTCAAGCCCAATGGGAGGCCCACCCGGCCTTTGCTCGAAGCCCGCCAAGGAAGGCGATCCGTTCTGCAGGCCTCTCTGCTGCAGGCCCCTTATCGTTAGGAAGATGTCCCCGACATTCACATTCAATCTACCACCTGTCAGTTTTTTCCAACCATCTTCAGGTTTCCACATGCAAGTTCCTCACTCGACCGAATGCAATACGCAAAATTCATAGGCGCTTGAGGTTTCCCCAGCCCCGCGGCATAAAATGGCTTGAGTCTGTGGCACCAACTTGTCGGAATGGTTGCCGGCTTCAGTGCCGCGTGGCACATTCAAGATGTTGGCAGAAGGAGGCCTCTTGGTGGCTATGGGGAAAGGCAGCCAGGCTCTCAAGTCGGGACAAAGGAAGGGAGGTTTGGCGCTGTGTGGTCTGGGAGGGAGGATTCCTTATGCCACAGGGGAGGAGAAGACGGAGGTGGGTGGGCTTCGTTGTGATGGTCTCCCCCACTCCTCTCCTAGGCCTGCATTGATGAGAACATGGAGGTGGTTGAATTTCTGGTGGAAAACGGAGCCGACGTGAACCAGGCGGACAACGAGGGCTGGACTCCGCTGCACGTCGCTGCTTCCTGCGGCTACATTGAAATTGCACAGTGAGTTTGGGGCAGGGAGGGCGTTCCCGATCTGTGCCCGTTAACAAGCGGCTGCACTGCGGATTGCAGCTGATCCCAAGGGGCACCTTTGCCTCCGCTTCTCATCTGGGGTGAGCGGGAATCACACATGCGGGCACCCTTCCTGCTGCCCGTCTCGCCGCTTACCTGCTGGAGCGACTCTCGGCGGCCGCCACAGTGCCGCACTGTGTTTCCCCAGCTGTGGACGCTCCAGTGGGCCAGCAGCAGCGAAAGGGTGCCAGGTACCAGCTTCCCTTGGGGAGGAGCTCCCTGTTTGGTTTCCTTGCTGGGGCGACGGAAGCAGAGCTCCTTTCCATGCATGGTGGGATCAGTGCTATCTCCCGGGTGGCCAGCCACCTGCATGCTTCCTAAGGGCCTCCACTGGGGAGGGTGCCAGAGCAGCTGGGTTATTGAAAACTCCATCCCAGAGTACGAGGGATGCTGGGCTGCCCACGGTCTGCCCTGGTTTCTGGCTGCCCTCCTGAAACCAGAA